CTATTAGTCAATTTTGTACTTATTTAAAATATTTGTTAATGTTTTAATACCTACTTATTATTATCTCTCCTCCCCTTTCAAAACCAGTGAAATATTCCGAGCATTCGAGTCTAAAACTAATTGCCAAGAACCGCTCGACTATGCTGCTAAGGGATAATTTTGATCTTTTAATTTAATTTTTTTTAATTTTTATTTTCCACTGGTGAATGAATGTTCCTTCTGGGCTCCAGAACCCTTTGGCTGGTGTGCTGGTGACAGTGCTGCCTTAATCCCTTAATAGTATATTAAAAACAGTAGCTAAAGACCTATCAGTAGTTACAAGTGGTCTTTAGGTTTCTTGGTTATTACAGGCACCCTATACGCAAATGGCCCTTCTATTACTCAGTAATAGAAGTTATATTTAAGATATCTTATCGACAATGTCTGTGGCAAATAGATTAAACCCGATGCCAGTCAACTACTGCACACACACACATATCTTATCGATTTTTCCTATTATTTTTTCGGCTTTTTTCAAAATGGTAATTCATCCATGGTTTTTATTAAAACATCACAGTTAAACACCACTTTATACGGACTTGTCTATTCCATAGAAGCCACACTAAACACGTGAAAAATAAGATTTCTGATAGGCTGAGAATGGATCTAGGTGAAAATACGCTAAATTAGTGATGACGAAATTTTGGTTCTACTGACACTTACAGTGACAGTATTTGTTCATTTTGTTTTTGAACTTTTATAAATATATTTCTAGAGTAAGTAGATATCATGTATCAAGTATATAGTCATTTAGTAACTAAATACAGTTCATCAAATTTCTAGAGGTGTTCGAAGTCCAGACAGAGAACGCGCTACGTGTGACTAAGATAGCTATTGTACAGTCTGCTAAACAAGTTATTTTAAATAGTTTTTAATATTTTTAGGTAATTAAATTTTAAAAGTGTGGAATAGTTTAGGGATTAAATTGGTCTGATTGGACTTTCTTAGAACGTTTTTAAAAGCAGCTAAAGATAGTATGTAGAATTGAAAATAATTATTATGCCATAAAAGGTGTTTTGGAATTCCTTCAACCTTTTGAAATTGAGTCAGAAAATATAAATTTTATAGGATAGCGGAAAATACCTATAATTTTTTTTGTATGCCTTTGTAAATCGTGGAAATAGTTTATATTTTATTTCTACCTTATTAAGGAAAATGGTACCTATTATTAATAACGGTTGTTTCTGAAACATTACTAAAATTTTCGAAATTTTGTTTTTCTACAAAATAATAAACTATACTATTTAGAAAAAAATTTATTTCTCTTATAATTTTATAAAAAATAACAGGGGAATATTTACATTTCTTGATCTATTAAACAAAACGATAAATTATCTCGACGAATGACACCATGTTCTAGTACGGAAGCTAGCTTTACATTTTTGTTGGTGGTTTCATGGGTTTCATATCAATTTTTTGTAATTGTAGTTTACACGTACATATACCTCTTAACACTTGTTTGCTTTATTAAAAAAGTGTGTTGTTGTGATTTATGTCGAAATAAGTCAAAAACAACTTGAAACCCCATATAAAATCAAAAAGGAGAAACGGAAAAAAATTGAGCCTGTAAATGAACACAACTCAGGAACAAAAATAGCTATCTAATAATAAAAAAATAAAATTTGATTCTTGTGCAGCATTATCTATATCATTAACTGTTTTTGGTGTTTTAATGGTTTTTCTTGGTGATGAAAATTCCGATATCTCACGGTTATCGATTCTTTTATTCTCTCCAGAAATGCGGACGACAGTGTTTTTAGATACTCCTGTGGCTGCAGCAACACGATCATTTACATTTTTAAATGGTATTGAAGGTGAATTAAAGTTTCCTTCTCTTCTCATAAACTCTATAACATTGGCTATTATTTCGCGAGATTGACTGTTAATCACGCGGTCTCTTAATTTGCTATTAAACTCCATACTTAGGTTCTATTAAACTGTAATGAGCAAAAAACACAAACGAAAATAAAAGAAATGTTTTAGCGAAATTTACATCTGACATTTACGTCTGAATGAAATAGTGAAATACTTGATGCGCAGAGTGTACTTTCATTGCGTAAATCCGTCGGGATGCCTGTCAGTAGTGCTTTCTCTATCTAGCCGTCGAAAGCCTCTAGAAATTTGATGAACTGTACATACCTTTAAACTACTTTTTTGACCCGCAAACAATATTTAATAAAAAAAATAAAAACAGTAAAAACATATATGTCAAATATTGTTAAAAGTAGAATTGTAGGATTCCCCACTCGACCATTCACTGTTGGGTACTAATTAACAGTGCTGTCCCTAAAGTGGCGCTGGGAAACAGTAACAAAGCCTGCACATAACACGACGCTAATAACCATTGCAGTTGATGCCGATGACACAAAAAAAAACTGTCAGTGGAACCAAAATTGTGTCACACTTTTATGACATATTGGAATTGAATCTACAAGTAGTTGACGGTTATTCAAACGCACTTCAGGTATATCCTATTACCTAATTTTGATGGAAAATATAATCGGTAGTTCACTCGCGACAGTCGTACATAAAAATATCGCTTAATAATGAATACCAATAGTTCGAGATTCTCAATGCTAATCAGTTTTATTTTTGTAAGGGACTGTACAAAACACATGTAAGCATATATACATGGATATGTTATGATTTTAATAAAATCCATCTGGCAACCCTATAAATATAGGAATGGTTTGCTATAGAAATTTGTGACTTCCTCATATAGGCTTGACAAAATAAGCGATACGCCACCTACAGTTTTAATTTGAAACCTTCCAGTGGGCCATTAATGTTTTGTTTACTCATGTGATTCAAGCATAATATAGGTTAATCTTACGGTTTCTGTTTGTATATGGTGTTTTAAAGACGTTTAATTGATAAAATTATTGTTTATTTAATCAAAATGAACCATCACTGTTGTGTTCCCATGTGTTCCTCTTGGGTAAAACTAAATAAAGAACTTAGTTTTCATACATTTCCCAAAAAAGAACAACGTGTTTTGGTAGAAACAAAATTAGGGAAACGAGAAGCTGTTGATCGGAGGGAGGAATGGATAAGAAAATTAAAAATTGGAAAGCCTGTGAGTCCGTACATGAGAGTATGTTCATTGCATTTCTCTGAAAACGATTATTTTTATAGAGGTTAGTATTTAGTCGTTTTTTGTGTTTCCGTATTAATAGTTTTTGTAGGGGACAGCTCTAAATTACATAGATTAAAATTTAATGTAGTACCGTCTAGGAAGTTACCTTTGGAAGATGAAAATCAACCTGGACCTTCTTCTTCTAGAAGTTTAAGGTTAGAAAATAGGCAACATAAAACGAAAACATTGTTACAAGAAGCGGAAAATCCAATAATAGTGGCTGAAAAGTGCACATCTCATAATGAAGAAGACGCTGGTTTGGAACATGCAGAAGAGGAAATGCAAGCTGCAGAACAATTAATAAGTTTGTTGCATTCACAACCCAACTATTGTGGCCCAAAAAGTTTGAAAGATTTTGGTGTACAAGTTAATACTCCTGAGGTATTAACACTAAGCCACTTTATTAAAACTGAGTCAGCACTTAATAGTTTTACGGGTATGAATAATTTTAAATTATTAAATTGTTTAGTGCATCAGCTAGAGAAAGTGCATTTAGAGAAAAAGGTGCATCGTTTATCTTTGAAAGACAGAACAATCCTTGTGATGACCAAACTTAAAACAAATCTATCTTATGCCACATTGGCTGTTCTATTTGGCATATCTCCGCCATTATGTAGAGATTATATTTTGGAATTAATACCTGTTTTAAGTAAAATTTTGTCAGCTGCCATATACTTTCCAAATAGAAAAGAAATTAAAAATAATATGCCCAAGTGTTTTAAAGAATTTTCTAATGTGCGGATTGTGCTAGATTGTACGGAAATTTATATTCAAAAGCCAAAATGCTTATGTTGTCGAATTAAATTCTACTCTTATTATAAATCTAACTTAACTGTAAAATTTATGACAGGTGTATCACCTGGAGGACTAATTACTTTTGTAAGTGAATCTTATGGAGGAAAAGCATCAGATAAATGTATTTTTGAAAGCAGCAATTTAATTTCAATGTTAACACCTAAAGAAGATGCCATAATGGTAGATAAGGGGTTTCTAATTGATGATATATGTAATGTTAATCAAATTGAGTTAATTAGACCCCCATTTTTAAGACAGCAAAGACAGTTATCAGCCACTGAAGCTATTTTTAACGCAAAAATAGCCTCTGCTAGAGTTCACATAGAAAGGTCTAATCAAAGGATAAAAATTTTTGATATTCTATCGGGTAAATTAAAATGGTCATTAGTGCCTTATGTAAAGGACATTTTTACCATTATATGTGGAATTACTAATCTTTCTTCCTCTATCTTGGCAGATCAAAGATTTTTAACAGAATAATTTTAATATTATATCTAGTGTTAAGAATAATCACGATTAAATAATATACTAGTATACTTTATTTTTTTTTATTTTCACAAATCAGACTGAGTCCGAGTACATAAAACATGTAACATATTTTCAAAATATCTTTCTTTGAGAGTTAAAAGCATTGTTTTTGAAAATTCATAATCAAAATCAACCTCTACAATTAGTCCAGAATCATCAAAAGAAGCAAATATAAATAAGATCGCTTTTTTTAAATTTAAAATCGCCATCCCCATTTGGACCTGTCCATAATATTGATGTTTCTTTTTTAATTTATATTTTCCATTTTCTTGGATCAAATACTTGACAGTTTTTACAGCCTCGGCTATAGTCTTAGTTGCTCCTAAATTAAAAAATATGTTTTATAAAATAATATGTTTATAAATCGATTCAATTAATTTTATGTAGATATAACCTGTAAATGTGTGAAGTATTTAATTATTTTTTACAACCATTTCAAGCTGTAAAATGCTATAGGTTAATATAAAATACTACCTACTTTACATATTAGTTGTTTTATTACCTGCAAAAATACATTTAATTTCCAACAATTGATGTGGTCTATCATTTTCCATAATCACACCATCTGGAGAAAATCCAAGCCATGGGTTTGAATGGCTTACAACCATACCACATTCAAATACTTCTGATTTTGTCAGATCTTTAAAAACGGTTCTTGCCTGCGACTCCCATTTTAAACCGTGTTTAACAAACTTATTACTAAACGAATGTTCGTAAAAATATTTTACCGTTTTAGTCTCCCAGTCATTTTTTGAATATCTAGATAGAGAATAGCAACGACTTCCAGTTATTCTAAATTTTCTATATTTCAACCATTCTGGAGTGTGTTGTTCAGCTTTCATTATCAAATCAATATCATCGGAACACAATGACTGAAACATTTCATCGCAACAATCTTTTAAACCAACTTCCTTTGAAAATATCTCCATCATTATAATGGATTGCGAAGCATTGTCCAGCACTATTTTGTTTATACAATTATCCAAATGAACTTCTTCCAGAATACCATCCTTATCAATAAAATGTCTTCTGCCGGTTCTAAAATAAATTTTGTTAAAATCCGCAAAATATATTAAATTTCACAATTATACCTATGTTTTGAAATTGCTGACTGAGGCAAGTTAGCACAAAAATAGTTTAAAACTTCAAAATTGTTGATTTGAATATTGCACGATGGGACCTTATTTACCAAACAAGGCATTTCTTTTACTGGTACTGGTTTGTATTTTTCCCTGGTAATTAGTTTCTGGGTTGACCAAGCACATTTCAACTGTGTTTGTGAAATATTTTCCAAACTTTGTATATCCTCCCTAAAACAAAAAACACAAAGCAGAAAAGAGAAGTATAAAAAAAGGAAAACATCAATATCAAAATCGAATTTGCTTGATAGTGCTTTTTTGGTTTTGGTTACTTTAGCACCTTGTACATTTAATTAGAAATGCTGAAATATGCTTGCACCGCCCACTTTGTCCAGCTTTACAAGAGCAAACCATTCGTTCAATTTGTGCTTTCTGATTCCCTATTTTAAATAGTCCCTCGATTTTATGGGGTTCATTTTCCAATGCTGATGCCTGAAGGCACAAGGCAATAATATTCACGGATGTTGCTGTGGATTTCGTTTTACCCGCTAATATTAGATGCCCAGCATTTAAAACGTGTTCACCTTCGTAAACACATTTTGAATTTTTGGTCCCTTCTAAATACTTCATATAGTCGACAATACTAAGCCTAATTTCACACATCTGCAAGTAAAAATAGTATTATGTATTTAGGTTATGGGTTAATGTAATATAAGGTAAACATACCTTTGCTAAATAAATAAACTGCCACTATCTATAAAAATGTTTAATTAATACATATATAACTAACACTAAAACTAACAAAATCCTTTACACACTTTAAAAACGAAAAATTCAACACCTAATCTTACGAAAACCCTATGGCATGTCATATGAAAACAAATGTAAACAAACTATAAATGGCCCAGCGGAGGACGAAAAAGTGACCGGTAGAGGCGCTGGAGTCTAAGCTTTTTTCGCCTATTAATAATTTTAAGGGTTTGTTTTGATTCAAACAGAACCGCTGTTTCCAGTTCTCCAAGACAGTGGACGAATTAATTTTTCAAGAAAACGTCGCGAAGTTTTAACAACCTCTTAGCTGATCTAGTGTTATTTTAATACAACGCGTTGATTGCAGCGTATACAATGTTGCCAAGTTGTAATAATTTTACGCAACTACGCGTCGATTGCTTTAAAAATATGTTTATTTTAAAAATCTATATCTTTTTACTAAAAGGGTCAAAAAATTCAGCGTTTCTTTAGAAAATTTTATAACTTTTTGATTTACATTACATTAGTTTTTAAAAAATATGGTAAGAACCGTTTTCGAGATATCTTGAAATAAATGCATTACTTATGTACATGAGAGGCTTCAAGAGTGTTAATTATGCACATTTTGATTGTTAATATCTCGTTTCATAGACGGTCAAAAAATTAATTTTTTTTTAGTTACATAAAAGACACTTTCATTGACCATATATTTCAATTTTATTGAATTCTTAAGAAAAGCCGTTTTACGAGTGAACTACCTTAAATATTTAGAAGTGGAAAACAATTTTTATATCTTGTATAAAACTATTTTTACCAGATTTAGCGGCATTCTGCTTTCGCCATCCGCAGTTCTAATTTTTTGAAAGACACAACTTTTTACTGTAGTATAGTGTACATGTTCAGAAGAGATTTATTGAACTTTGTCAAGGATGATATGTAGTATTATTTTTTCATTTAATCACCAAGTATGAAATGTAAGAATAATTAGTATATGGTATGACTTAATGTCAGTATAACTTACTTGTCTTCTGAAGATTGACCAGGTTGATATTTGAATAATATAGAAATTGCTTCTAGAATTAAATTCTTCTTGATGGCGGGATTCATAACAAAAACATCATTTCTAAATTGTTTTGAACATATTCTCTTATTTTTGTTAATTCAAACTTCAAGCGCTTCTATTTCTAGGTGTTGAAACCAAATTTCCCTTGCTTCAAGATTTGTTGACAACCTGCATAAAAAATTATTAATTATTTCAATGATATAACAAATAATAAATTATATTTTTTTTTGTTAATACATTTTTTCTTTAATTAGATACCTAATATATCGAAACTAATGTTTTATAATATATAAAATTAACACAATGACACTGCCTATGGCTCTCGTTTACTTACCTATGGAATGACTGTAAAACTTCTCCAAATGTATATTTTAGAACAAACAAAGCATTTAATAGTAATTTTTACTTGCACTTAAAACCAATGAAATTCTAGACAATCTAAAAACTTTAAAAATCGCAAGAAATTTATAAACAAAAGTGACAATTCCGAACTGCCTATTCGACAGTTTTGCCTAAATTTGCCGCGGCAATTTAAAATTTACTAATCACATCAAGGAACCAGCAGAGAGAGAAAGTAGGAACTTGGCCTCAAATAAACACAGACCGTTAGTTACCCTATATTTCATTTATATTTCTGAGACTATAGCCTAGAGAAAAAAGGAGTGCAGTAATTTAATTTTCAGAACGTAGTACAGGTTCAAGAGGTAGACATTTTTTTTATACCTCATCCTTCAATGCTTATTTGTAGTTAAAATCAAAATTTTAATACATCTAAACTGCCTAATAAAAGTTCAGATTTAATCATATTTTCAATGTAATAAACCTTTTCTTTTGACAGACACTTTATTTAATCATAGCCGTATCGTACGTATTTTAATTTATTCGGAATTTTGTATTAGTATATATTATAAATTTTACAGTTATATAAGAATGGCGAGTACGCGTAAACGACCTAGTAGACATAAAGCATTATCTTTAGGAAAAAAATATCGTACTTAATGTATTTAATAATCTTCGAGAAGACTTTGTTTCACTTTCTGTGGATGAAATAGCCACCAAATGTGAGACCTACACTGGAGTATCTAAGCGGACAGTGTATAACATTAATAAAGAAGATACAGTTATTGGAGAAGTCTCTCATCCAAAAAAGCCCACAGGAAGAAACAAGACCTTTATTGAAACATGGGTAAAGAATGTAATAAGGTAATATTCCTTTCAAAATAAAATTCCTACACTCAAAAAATTACACTTAGAAATAGAAAATAGCCCTACCTTTCCAAATATATTATATTTTCTTCTGCAAAAAATATTACATGAATTAAATTTTCGTTACAAAAAACGTGACAGAAACAGCTTTTTAACAGAGAAAGAAGAAATCATTGCGTGGAGACATGATTATTTAAGGAAAATAGCGGACGCAAGGAATCAGCAAAAACAGGTATTTTATTTAGATGAGACATGGGGTATTTATAGTGAAGATAGTTCTTGAACTTTTTATTTTTTTTATCTTTAATTTTGAGTACTGAAGTGTAATTTTCAATGCCAAGAGATTAAAAAAAGTTTAATCCCATTAACAACATATAATCCTTGTTATTTATTGGTTTATATTTAGTTTTTGTAAATAATATAACTTTTTCATTCAAAATTTATAGTACGAAGTGAGTATATACCATTTTATACGCGGTTACCTTATTTATATTATAGAAACTTATTTTGCAAAGTACGCCTATGGAATGTGACGTTATATCCCCACATTTACTGCACTCCTCTTTTATTCAGACTATAGATACATTAATTAATATGACTCTCAGTTAAGTATTATATTTTGTAAATTATTTTCTTTTCTGATACAAAAAAGAGATAATAATATGTATGATACATAAGGGCTTTGTCCCAACATCTCACAAAACCGTAATATTACGGTCATCGTCATGCGCAGTAAATAAAAACCGTTCAACTTTGGGCTTTATTGATAGGTTTTTATTTACTGCGCATGACGATGACCGTAATATTACGGTTTTGTGAGATGTTGGGACAAAGCTAAGGAAGTTCGGAAATTAAGAGACTATGGGGTCCATTCTGTAACAATTCCTTTATATTTAACGGCCTTTAAAAATATTGGCGGCCTTTAAAATATTTTCGTATTCGTTAATTTACTTCTGTCATTACTCAAACAGATTTCTTTAAGATAATTCTTTAATGTATTTTAAAGATCCGTTTAAATAATGACAGAAGTAAAGACGAAAATATTTTTAAAGGCCGTTAAATTCCTTTATATTTAACAGCTTTTAAAAATATTGTCGGCCTTTAAACATATGTTCGTATTCGTTAATTTACTTCTTCATTACTTAAACAGATTTCTTTAAGATGTTCCTCTAATGTATTTTAAAGATCCGTTTAAATAATGACAGAAGTAAAGAATAAAATATTTTTAAAGGCCGATAAATATAAAGGAATTGTTACAGAATAGACCCCAATCCCTGTGAGACATCTACCGCCAAAAAATGTCATAAAACGCTAGTGGTAAAAAAAAAAGAAATACATAAATTCAGTGATACCGTAAACGAGGTAAATGTATTAGCACAAGTTATTGGTATATTGTTTATAGCAGTGGTGTCCATACTTTTTTCTATGAAGATCTACCAACCAAAAATTGGGAGATCGACATTTGTAGCAAATGTTTTTAAATATTCAATAATGTTAGGCAAGACAATTATTGTATAAATCAAATTTGGGTAGTATTATAAACGAAAATAAAATTCTCAAAATCAGTAACACACAAATTTATTTTTTATTAAAAACTACTTGTTAACTGGGTAATGTTAACACAGGCAACCGGTTTCGGCTAAAAAGCCATCATCAGGCCTAGAATAGAAGGAAGAAAACATGGTTCTTAATAAAATCACAGTGATAAATAGTGAGTAACATACCTAAGACGAAAATTCATAATCATATAGGCAGATGATCATCCACATGTAGAATAAAACTTATATGTTACGTTGTTAAAAGGTTGTAGGTACTAAGAAAAACTAACTAGATTTTCTTAAGGATAAATTAAAGGAAGATGTATGTGAGAAAATTAGGGGAGTTAATGGGTAGTATCTACAACAAAAGGTCTCGGTATTAGTGACCAATCAGGAGCGTAGTGATAAAAGACCAACCTGTAGGCTCTATTGTATTGGTTCTTCACAGTTCTTCTGACCTTATCAAAGCAGATTCTTGAATCAGTATGTGGTCCTGGAGAGAAGGCTGTAGAGTAGAGGGTTGGCATATAGCTATAAGGTTGAAGATACACACCTTGCTTCAATTTATCCTTAAGAATATCTAGTTAGTTTTTCCCAGTACCTACAACCTTTTAACGAAATAACGTATAAGTTTTATTCTAAATGTTGATGATCATCTGCCTATATGATTATGAATTTTCGTCTAAGGTATGTTACTCACTATAATTTTCCTTCTATTCTAGGCCTGATGATATCTTTTTAGCCGAAACCGGTTGCCTGTGTTATTACCCAGTTAACAAGTAGTTTTAAATAAAAAATAAATTTTTTGTGGAATTGATTTTGAGAATTTTATTTTCGTTTATGAAAATGGCTAAATTCGAGCAGTTGAATAACCTCTACGATTTAATGATTTAATAATATTATATTTGAGAAGCAAATTTCATCTTAAATAAATCTAATAGAGTTCTAGACATGTTGCTCTATTTATAAGGTAAAAATATGTATAACCCTTTATAGTGCCAAAGTGAATACTAAGAAATCTATTTTATAATGAATTAGACAAGGTATAATAGTATCGCTCGTGAAACAAACAGAGACTGCTAAGCAGCGCATTACCTATTCTGGCGTACGGTACATACAACTTCCACTTCACTTTCAATTACGCTCGTCCCTAATAGATTTAACTTATATGGTTCGCGTTTAAATTTCCAAATCTCTTTACTAAAATTTTAATAAATTAATCACTATGCTGGCCAAAAATCCGTTTACAAGGTTATAAAAATTAAGCGTTTGCATATATTTCTGACTTGTTTTCTATGGAAATAAAAGAATAATAAGAATAATTTTATTTAAAAAAGAAGTAGAAAATATTTATACCTAAGAAATTACTTGATTTTATTAAAACAAAAATCAGCCACTTTTTTAAATTTAAATTCTGTTTACAAATTAACAAAATAAATACTTTTCGAAGGTTTACAAAAAAATCAGAGGGTACTCAAAATTATTAATTTCTAATTTTTTTGTTCGGTGTCATCGGCATCAACTACTATGGTTATTAGCCTCGTGTTCTGTGTAGGCTTTGTATTGTTTTCCAGCGCCACTTTAGGAACGGCACAGTTAATAGGATTGGGGAATCCTGCCTATGCATTAGAATTAATTTGTAATCAGTTAAATTAAATAAAAGTCCCATCCCCGGTGTGATTCGAACCCAGGACCATTTGATTCGTAAGTCTAATATCTAACCACTGAGCCACCCGCCCCCTTAAAGAAAAATCTACTATTATTTTCGTTTGTTTTCAGTAATAGGAGATACTGGCCATAGAGCCATATACTGGGTCTGTGCCTGATATCCATGGAACAATAAAATAGGTTTATAAACAGGTCCGATTTGAAAATTTGGTGATGCTCAAACAAATACAAGACGTCTTAAATTATTTGTTTATTATACCGTACTGTATTCATAATATAATTTCTTAGAAACAAATATTCAGGTCCGTATTTAAACAAAATTTGTTGATGGTGCCTGACGTGACGAAACCTTCTACTTAAAAACTGATAACAGTTAATTAAATTCTCCTGTAAATAAAATAAAAAATTCCTTTATATTTTAACTAGAAAAACTAGAGCTAAAAAACGAAAAATGCAATTTTTAATTTATTTCAATTATTTCAAATACGGTTCTTTGTTTTTTTTTTAGTTCTGGATGTACCAGTTTATTTTCCCAACTTTTTCCCATTTTTTCCCATTACTATATTCCAATATTAGAGTCCCTGTGAAATTGTGTACACTTGTACACTCTGCATATGTCAAAAATCCCACTTTTAAAGTAGATTTTCCCAAAAGACAGAACGCATTGAATATGTTTTAAGAAGCATTTTGTTGAAATAAAAATTAAAAGAACTTACCGCTTCTTGTGACCACCTTCGGTACTTCTGAGAGTCCTTCGCTCATTAAAGATTTGTTGTAGGAACTGTTTTCCCGACTTCTTCTTTTTAATAGATGAAGATTTCCATCGAAGTCATCTATACTTAGACTTCTTTGTTCCAAATCAGAGTTTTCCAAATTCGCGGGGTTAGCAAAACGCCTCTGAAAACGATTTATCCTTCGGCTATTTTCGGGTTCTATATCAACTTCTTCGGAATCATCATTTTGTACTGAAGGACGATATCTCATATCATATGGTCTTCTACGTCGATAAGAGGGATTATGATTAGCCTTTCTAGAAGAATGGGTATTAAAATCGTTAACTTCTTCATCGTCATCGTTTGATAGATATTTGGGATTCATACGGTGGTATCTTTGATTCCTACGATATGTATTTCTACTCTGCATTATAGAAGACTGTGATTGATCTTCTCTGGATTCAATATCGTCAATTTCACTTATTCCATGGACGTCATCTGATGATTTTAGATCAAAATCGTCTTGATTTTCGTTATACTGAACAATTTCGGGGTTCTCGTGCCTTGGAGTCTGTAATTTGGGTCTCATGTGAATGGCTGGACGATTTTTCCCATATCTTTGATACAGGCTCGTTGCTATCGGTGGATCCGTTTCTTCAACATCTTGAATTTTATCAATTGAACCTTGATGTTCATCTATCTGCAAAGTTGTTTCCCTTTCATTATTTTGCATAATGTTTGCTTGTGTGTTTGATACTGGTTTTACATGCATATGAGGACGAGGTTGTCTAAATCTTTCATAAATGTTGGTTGTAGTAGGAACTTGAGTTGCACTCTCATCTTCAACATATGACTTTATATTTTCTCCACCAAAGTTTTCTGATTGTAATTTGGAAGATTGCGTTTTTACATGCATATGTGGACTATGTTTTCCATATCTTTGATAAATGTTTCTAGGAGTAGGAACATCAATTGAACTATCATCGTCATCAGTTGTCTCCACATTTACTTCACCAAGGTTTCCTGATTGTGATTTGGAAGATTGCGTATTTACATGCATATGTGGACTATGTCTTTGATAAATATTTTTTAAAGTAGGAATTTGAGTTGAACTGTTTTCTTCATCATTTGACTCCATATTTACTTCTCCAAGCTTTCCTGATTGTGATTTGGAAGTTGGCGTTTTTAAATGCATATGAGGACGAGGTTGTCTAAATTTTTCATAAATGTTGGTTGTAGTAGGAACTTGAGTTGCACTCTCATCTTCAACATTTGACTTTATATTTTCTCCACCAAAGTTTTCTGATTGTGATTTGGAAGATTGCGTTTTTACATGCATATGTGGACTATGTTTTCCATATCTTTGATAAATGTTTCTTGGAGTAGGAACTTCAATTGAACTATCATCTTCATCATTTGTCTCTACACCAAGGTTTCCTGATTGTAGTTTGGAAGATTGCGTTTTTAAATGCATATGTGGTCTGTGTTGTCTAAATCTTTGATAAATATTTGTTGTTGTAGGAACTTGAGTTGAACTGTCATTTTCATCATTTGACTCCATATTTACTTCACCAAGGTTGTCAGATTGTGATTTGAAAACTTGTGTTTTTACATGCATATGTGGACTATGTCTTTGGTAAATGTTTTTTAGAGTAGGAATTTGAGTTGAACTATTATCTTCATCATATGGCTCCACATTTTCTTCACCATAGTTTGTTGATTTAGAAGTCTGCGTTTTTGTATGCATATGTGGACTATGTTTTCCATATCTTTGATAAACGTTTTTTGGAGTAGGAACTTGAGTTGAACCATCATCATGTTCATCATTTGACTTTATATTTTCTTCACCAATGTTTTCTGAGTGTGATTTTAATGGTAGCGTTTTTAAATGCATAAGGGGACTATGTTGTCTATATCTTTGATAAATACTTGTCGTTGTAGGCACTTCAACTGCACTGTTGTTCTCATTATTTGTAGTTTCAGGATTATTGCTACTGACTTTTTCATCGTTTTCTAAATTCTTTGATTGTATAACTGTTTTAGGCCTCATCATCATATGAGGACGATTTGTTCGATATCTTTGATAAATACTTGTAGTCGGCTTATTTAAACTGCCATCCCCATTGTTGTTTGTGTTGGATTTTTGTCTTTTTACTTCTTCTTCTTGTATTTTAGGTTTTATTATTATATGAGGACGATTTGTTCTAAATCTTTGGTAAATACTTGTTGTAGGACCTTCATTAGCATCATCGCCTTTGTTATTAGTATTATTAGATTTATTATTGTTTGACTTGTCTCCATGGTTTTCCAAATTTTTCTGTTGTGCTTCTATTTTGGGTTTAAAATTCATATGAGGTCGATTTGTTCCAAATCTATGGTAAATACTTGTTGTGTGTTCATTAGCACTGTCATTTTCGATATGGATGCTCTTAAGCTCATGACTCTCCGAGTTATCCCCATGGTTCTCCAAATTCTTCACTTCTGCTTTTATTTTGGGGCTAAAATTCATACGAGGACGATTCGTTCTAAATCTTTGATAAATACTTGTAGTGGTACGTTCATCAGCATTGTCTTCTGTGTTAATAATAGTTTTAGATCCATGAGTATCTAAAGTATCATCATGATTTTCCAAATTCTTAACGGGTGCTACTATTTTAGGCATTAAACTCATGCGAGGACGATTTTGTCTAAATCTTTGATAAACACTTGGTGTAGTTACTACACTGACTCCTTTATCATCTCCATCGTTACTTTTTTCTTTTTGATTTGCAGTAAGATCCGATTTTATTTCCTCTTGCGAATGATTTTTAGCTGTTTGTGTATTTCTGTTAAAAATTGTTTTTTGATGATGTCTAAACCTTTCGTAAGTAGCCATCGTTGGTTTTACATCAGCAGCATTTTTATTATCAATATCTTTTAATTCTATAGGGGCTGTAGTTGTAGGTTGAGTAGTCAATATAAGTTTTTGATTTAAGTTTAAAGGATGCTTATTAAAAGTATATCTGTGATATTTTGTCATTGGTGCTTTAGTAGTAGTACCATTGTTTTTAATGTTTTCTTTTGACAATAAAACATTTTTAGTATGTTGAGTTGTTTGATTTGAATGAGGTTTAAAATGATACCCTGGTGATCTGTAGTGAGATATTCTATCAGAATTAGAATGTTCTTGGTTAGATTCTGGTTTATGGGTCATTTCGTTATTACTGGTAACATTATCAATAGCAATATTTTCTTCTAACGATTTAGGATTACCTCTAGAAAACGAAGAAGAATATGTGTGTTGATTTGAAGGCTTTTTAGGGCTAAAACGATGATTTTGACGGTATCTTCTCGTTATTTGGTGTTGAATCATTTGGGTAGTTTCTTCAACAGAAGACTCAGTAGTTTCAGAGGTATCAGAATCAGTTTTTATTTTTGAATTTTGAGAATGATAGCTGTGATGATTATTTGAAGTAGTAGCAGTATGTTTAATATATGTTCTCGTATTATAATTTTTTTTTGATGGTACAAAATGCACAGGTTTCGCAGTGGTTGTTACATGTTGTCTGTTATAATGTTTTAATGATGATTTATTTGTTGGTCTAGAATATTTATGGGTTGGTTGAAATGTTCTATGTCTTAGATGTTTAGAGGTGGACTCTTCTTTGTGAATAGTTGAAGTAGATTGGTGTACAGCTGCATTGTTATCTGAAAATTAATTATATATATTTAGAAGAAATAGTAGTGTATGAACTCCAAATATAAATAAAATTTAATTATTAAGTATTGAGCAATTATACTATTAAAGATTTTTGTAGATATATTAAAAAGTTAATTAAATAAGAATAAGATTTAAGGGTTGCTCCATAAACACTGCTTCATATATGATTAATAATTAAAATTATGACTATCAACAAAATGAAGTTTCCCTATTATGAGTTAATTAAATCTGGATCAATTACTTTTATAACTAGATAAATTAATGTTCAAAATTAGTTCTTTTTTTGCAAAAGTGGACGATATTTTATTAATTGACGATCCAAATCAATCTTACAAATAATTTCAACTACGCCAATGAAGCAATAAATTAAAACACCCTTACCTTTATCAGTATAAACGTTTTCAGTAGCCACCAAAGTTGGTTTTGCTTCAGATTCTCTAACAACATCTTCTTTGATAAGCTCTCCGGATATCCCAATATTAACTGTCAATGGCGTATCCGTTTCAGTTTTATCTACCACCTCCTTTACAGTGTTTATGTCAGCAGTCGGAGTGTTTACTTTATTTTCATTACTGGTAATATCGGAAGGAATGTTTGTTCTTAGAACAGTAAAATCTTGATTTTTGTTAGCATTTTCAATTTCGATTTGGTTAAAATCTCCATTTCTTTCATTTGATATAGCTTCGGTTATGTCTTTGATTGGTTTAGCGTTATTATTTTCTTCGGCAGGTAAAATATCTTTGACAGCTTCTTCTAAGAGTTTCCCATGTTCTTCTTTAAAGACGTGCAATGTCGGAAGGACTGGTTGGCCATCTAAGTTATTTGTTAGCACATTTGTAATCAGTACTGGTTCTTCTGGGGGAATTATGAAAGGCGTAGGTGAGTCTGAAAGTAAGAAAAATCGTTCTTTAAGTTAAGATTTCAATTAAAATTTTGGCGACAATAATCACATAATACACCAAAATTAAAATTGTACTTGTAGAAATTAGTAATTTATGAAACGACGCTTAAATTAAAATATTGTTACAACGTTTACACAATACAACTAGTAAATATTTTATGAATGAGAATAACGTTTAAGTGCCAACTGTAGTTATGTTAAACGTTTTCCTGAAGGGCAGCCAAACCTTGAAATGTTAGTGGGCAATTTTGCAGTTATTTTTTCAGATTCACCTTTGCAACTAATATTTTTTCAAATATTTGCTATGGAGGCCATATTTAAATGATGATAATAATATTATAAATAGTAATATACTTAATTTGTTTAATTTTTTATATTTTGTAACAAGGCTGAATTGCTTCATAGGAAGAAAGAATATATATTCAGTAAAAGAAGAACTTGACTAATCCTAACTTACCCTCAAAATACTATTTATAAAATAATAAATAATGATAAAATAATAGAAAAAAATCATAAATGTATTTTATTTTCTAATACCTTACTAGGAGTAATACGTGATCTCTAAAAAAAGTCGTTTAAAATCAGTTTTAAATTGAAAATTTAACGAGCCTTTGAATACATTGCTTCCTATTACAGGCAAAAAAAATGTCGTGGAAAACTTTCACAGGCACAAGTCTACATGAAAACGGTTGGACTACATTCAGTTTTTGGTCGCATAAGCAACTCCAGTCACGTTTTGGGTAAAAAGTTAGTTGTCTAGCTGACTAACGTTAAAAGTTAGCATATTTTTTTAGTTATCTGATATAAAAAGTCGAGCTGATGCCTAACGTGCCTGTTACACTCAGATGCCATGGTTTAAAGTGAAATTCTCTTTGTAAACATGGTCAGCCATTACAATTTGGGACATGAACAAAGGATTACTTTAGTTTCCTAAAAACATTCCGTTTAGTTCGTGTTTGAATGAATATGGCGTAATAGTCATAGATATCATCTACGACACATACAATTAAATGGAACGATATGGTAAGTGGCACCTTTTTCGAAAGGTATTTAAAATACCTCTTCAGTCATACTAATTTTGTTCTGATATTGGGTACTTTGATAGATAATCTAAATAATCACTAAAATTATAAAAATCGGGATAAATCTGAAAATCAATACCATAATGTATTTTTTATTAAAATGTCGCGACTAGTTTCAGCCTACATGACTACCTTCAGTCATACAATACAAAATAACAACTGATTGAAAAAGTATAATTGACATTACAAAGAGTTTTAATTTCCAAATCCGTATGAATCGTTACAAGGTTATAAGTTCATACGTACAAGGTTAAATGTGGCTATTATTTTTTAAAGTTTAAAAGGTTAAAGAAAACATTTTTACAAAGTTTTACGTGAAAAAAATTTTTTGAGGAATTCTCAAGAATCCAAAAACCCTACAGGGTTAAAATACAGATTAACCCGATCCTACAGGGTGTATGTAACAAACCCCAGCGACAAGAAGATATGCGATAGACATTTAAATTTTTCTCCAATCGGGTACAGCGCCTCAGTAGCTTTCAACCTTCTGATGATCTTGTGGTCATCTATAAAAACTGCAAACACGAGGATGAAATGATTAAAAGATTAAATGTAGATTAACCCGATCCAACAGGTGGGGTAAAACAAACCCCAGCAACAGGAAAATAAGCGATAAATATTTAAATTTCTCTCCAATCGATTACAGCACATCAGTATCTTTCAACCATCTATTAATCTGCACATCTATTGCGAAATGGGATCTGTTACACCCTACCTGTCAGAACTAGTGACTTTTTTATTTAATTCTTGTGTTTCTTGGCATTAGTTATCAACAGTAAGTAATTAATTATTAATTTAATAATGTATTGGAACTTATTATAGTTTAAAGAATAATAGGCGAATATTAAAAGGAGCAGAGACGTCTCAATGGCGTAATTGACCAAGAAGATGAAGACATAGACAATGTTAATGTATCTAGTGACTACCCTGACTTGGAAAAAGAAGCTGAAATTAAAGGGGAAAATAGAGAACAGGAGGACCAAGAAAAGGAACGACAAAACACAGAATCAGCCGGAGGTTTTTTTTTTTTAAATGATCGCTGATACCGCTCTACACACTAATCAAACAATTGCAGAAAAATCCAATAGATGAAAGAATTCTCCCCTTTGTAGAGAAACAACTGTGTAAGAATGAAAGTTGTATTTGGCCTTCTTTACCTGTCGGGTACATTTAAAAAGAATAACCGTCAATTGTGTGAGCTGTGAAATACTGATGTTACTGGTATGGAAATATTCCGTTCCACAATAAGCCAAAGGCGATTTTAATTTTTGATATCATGCTTACGCTTTGATGAGAAGACTAATTGTCAACTGAAAATCGAGTTAGATAAGTTAGCTCAGATAAGAGCAGTATTGAAAAGTGCAGAGCAGCCTATTCGCCATCTCAGTATTTCACTATTGATGAGAAATTGGAATCATTTCGTGGCCGATGTTGTTTCAGAAAATATATACCAAATTAAGGGGCATGCTCTGGTAGATGCGCGTACCTACTATGCGATGAATATGGAGAAATATCTGGGACAACAACCTTAGACCTTATTTCGAGCAAGCAACAGTCCGAAAGATATAGTAGACCGTTTAATTACTCCAGGGCCAGGGACTAGGCGTAACATCACATTTGACAATTGGTATACCAGTCGTTATCTCTTGGTGAAACTACGTGTAACTCACAAACTAACTGCTGTAGGCACTATTAGAAAAAATAAGTTGAATTTACCCTCGAAGTTTTAAAATTGTAAAAGATAGAGAAAAACCTTCTAGTTTATTTGGCTTCCAAGAAGGAAGTACAGTTCTATCAAAGTAAATAAGTCGACATGTTAGCAGTCTAGAGGAGAAAAATCTGGGTTAAAGACGGTGGGAACTCAGAAAAATAAGGAAAATGGATATTTTTGTTCGATCCAAATAAATAAACAAAAAGGATCAGATGTGTCCATCTGTGTGGTGAACGAACCATAGTTGAAACATAATAAGTGCCAAGGTTTTGGCCAGTAGAAGCCAGTAGAAACCCACCAAATGGCCACTTCCAGATATAGGGCATCTAGAAATACATCTCAGGGACGTTGTTCGCCTGCAGGACTTTGACCTGAGAGATTGGCACCCCCAGTGACAATCAGGAGTTTTTGCTAAGTTGATAACCTGTAGAACTGAGTTAATAATCTGTAGAAGATGGCTATCTCTAGACACCTCTCAGCAACAACCAGCAGGTTCATGACGAATTGAAACCTGCAGGAATTTGATGAGCTGCCTGTCTAAAGACACTTTTGAGTCCCAACTAGCAGGACTTATAAGCCTTAAGTACTGTGAATCAACCCACCTTACAGCTTCAGAAGTGTAAAAGTTATTGCAGCTACTGAAATTAAAATAATCAAAAAGCAGAAAAATAGATAATAAAATTCTGTACTCAAAAAAATCAATGGAATCTTGCATATGGTGGTGACTTTGTGGTCATTACTATAAACTGCAAAAACAAAGAAAATGTGATTAAAAAATTGAAAAATATAGATTAAGTTGTGAAAGCACACCAGTGTAGTGTGTACCCATTTCATACTCTCTTAAACAAATTTTGCTTTAGGCGAGCCTCGAACCTGCACACTCTGTATTTCCGTTCCAACGTCTTGACTACTAGACTATCTAAACTAATGTATATGGCGTCCTAATTGTCAATTTGAGTATTTAGATTCGATCCCGACTGACAGTATCAGAATCTTTTCCAATTCTTTAACCATGCTATACAGGGTGTCCCATTAATGCGTAATTGTTCAATATTTTAATTTGTGTTATAGACACGCAAACAAGTTAAACATTTTTGGATATACAAAGTGTTACGGTTTTGCCGGGCAAATACAAATGTATATTTTTTAAGACCCTCTTTTTTTGTTTCAGTTTTAGAATGCTTTGATAATACTTTATTTAACCCTGGAATATTTTTTTTAAATATTACAGTGTTGCCAAGAAATTATTTTTTTATGAAATTAAAGAATGATGAAGACCCCAAATTAAATTATCATAATTTAGGTAGGTTTACAATGATTTAAAAATTTATTAAAATACAGACTTATAAGATAGTAAGCTAACGAAAAGTGGTGATAGAACTGGAATATTTTATACAGAGTTTTTTGAAACATGCCTTAAATATGGCAAATTTTAAGTTCAATTTACTCAATTTTTTCAAATGCAATATCCTGTATATTATTTTAGCATGAAATTTCTTATGAATTTACTTATCCAACGATACCAACATGTTAGCCAATGACACATATACAGGGTGTCCCATCAGTGTGTAATTGATCGATAGCTATTTTATTATTGAAAATACGAAGAAATTTTTAATATAAAAGTTGTATGATCATATTTAATAATTATTCTTAAGTATACAGCGAGGTCCATAAACGAGGCGCTGATCAAACCTATACATTTTTAAAGCAAAACACCCTGCAGGCGTGACATCGTCAAACAATTTTAATAGACTTCATTAATTTGCTATGTTGTATATGGGATGTGTCAAAACGCAAAATTACGATTTTCTCAATTTTTTAAATGAAATACTCTACATGTTATACCACCAATTAATTAATACCGGGTATTCCATTTAAAAAATTGAGAAAATCGTAATTTTGCATTTTGACACATCCTATATACAACATAGCAAATTAATGAAGTCAATTCAAATTGTTTGACGATGTGATAACAATCAAATATGTATAACTACCTGCAGGGTGTTTTGCTTTAAAAAAGTATAGCTTTAGTTTGCACCTCGTTTATGGACCACCCTGTATATTTAAGAATAATTGTTAAATGCGGTCATGCAACTTTTAAATTAAAAATTTGTTTGTATTTTCAATAATAAAACAGTTATCGATCAATTACGCACTGATGGGACACCCTGTATATTTGTTATTGGCT